CAGATGAAACTCAATCAAACAATATATAGAAAGATTTTCTAACAACTTTCCTGACGGTTTTACGTAAAACTTCATGAATAATACCATGCCTGTCATGATTGCGATATTAATTTATTGACTTTCAGGAGTGTGCTAGAACCGCCAAATGAAGAGCTACAAAAAACTATGGATAGGCTCTATTCATAAAAATTACCAAAACGATATTCTAGCCATTGGAATGCAATTCACCACCCAGTTTTTCAACAAAATAGTAGAAAAATGGAGGTTTTTTGTCATATTTCGATAGAAAAATCACTTTTTAAACGTTGGAGAAAAACGCAATTCTTTGAAAACGTTTGACTAAAACCTTCAGGAAAGTCGTTAGAAAAATCTTTTTATGTAGTTCGATGCATTTTTATCTGCTCTTTCCAACGGCGAAAACCACAGGTCTCTATATCATTCCTACCAAAAGTTATTCAAAAAATACCCACGGCCATTTATCTCTTAAATGGACATTAGTTGAAACAATAATCAATACATGACTAAAGATATTCTTCTGCTGGTCATTTATCATTGAATTATATAATCTACTATCATATGTTTAAAAAAAAAACTTGCTAATTATTTGCTCGAAGAAAGATTTTGCGTGTTCTATCCCATGAATAGAAATACTCTAATTTCAAATATTATCACCTATAATCTTTTCAATCTTAACCAATTAAACTTTCTTCACGCTTAACCTCAAACTATTTCAATCTATAGTAGATGATCAATAGCCATTCATACGGTAGTATAACTTTCTAATACAGTTAAAATGTATAATCAAGTAAACGAAAGAACTTTAACGATTTAAATAAATTTAACTAATTCTTAACAAAAAAAAAATATTAAGGTCATCTAATTTATCTCAATTCGGAGTCATTAGTCAATTCATATTCTTTATCTACTACTTTTCTCATCAGGTCTGCATGATTTGTTATTTTTTTTTAAATATACCACGCTAATGTAATTTATAGATGACCAACACAAAAAGGAATTCTTATGAAGAAATCTACTAATTCAAAGTTTTCATCTGACAACTGTATAATATTTACAACAAACTATCACATTCTAAAGATTCGCCTCGTTAGCTATAGAAGTTGGTATCGTAAGAATAAATCTACAATCATGTAAAGGATTAATAAAATCATATTCAGATTTGCTATTGAATTATTAATTAACCCGTTGGTATGTAATAATCATATATAGCTTGAAAAAAAGTCACGTCGATTTTGTAAGCTTAATGAAATTATGTGACAAAATTTTAAATCCATTAACAATTGTACATTTAATAGGTCAAGTATATATTGCATAAAAATGTTTTTAAATATCTTTTGACATTTTATCCTTACGAGGGAACATATCCAACTGTCGAATGCCGTTCGAGCCCATATTTTGGCTACGAGTAGGACTCAGTGAGACTAAGAAAATCATAAAAGGGTTCATGCCCATGGCGTGTTCCTTGCGAGATATGAAGTTTTTAGTGAATTTTCTCTACAGCATCCTACTTTTGCAGCAAAGCTATACTTTCGAATGTTGACTTGCAACTTTGCCCACATAAAGGCCTCAACTAGAAGAGCTTACATAAAAAATTTCAGAAGTTTTGAACAAAGTGTCTCCGAGATATAGAACTATCAAGACACAGACAGACCCTTTTTTATAGATAATGTATATAGCATGCATTTTTTTGAAAACTCGGTATCTCGAAAAGGCTTTGTTCAAAATTTCTGAAATTTTTTATGCAAACTGGTCTAACTAAGGCCTTTATGTGGGAAAAGTTTCAAGTCAAAATTCGGAAGTATAGCTTTGCTGCAAAAGTAGGGTACTATAGAGAAAATTCACTAAAACATTGATATCTCACCAGGAATATGCCATGGGCACGAACTCTTTTAGGGTTTTCTTAGTCTCACCGAGTCCTACTCGTAGCCAAAATATGAGCTCGAACGGCATCCGACAGTTGGATATGTTCCCTTGTTAGTCTGTTCAATAAATACATTAAAATAATTTATATATTGCAAAATTTTTGATATCTTAACCTGAAATTATAATAAATCTTTATCAATCATTTATTCAAGTTTTTCTTTTAATTTATAATGTTTTCGACATTTCGCTCGTCGTCTTAACGTAAATAGTTTTCTACAAAAAAAACTGAATTGATTTTATTAGGTTTATTCAGCATAGAAGATAGATAAATAGAAATAGCGAGTAAGATAACAGTGTATACAAACAAAATAAAATATGAAGCTTAGTTGTTGAGTTCATATTTCATTCAATATGAAATTATTCCAATGAAAACGCTATCTGTAATTGATGAACAACCTATGACATATCATTCTAAACTTTTTGCCATGTTTTTTTTCTTCTTGGAAAGATAATAATCAACATTTATGATGTATCTTGTTTCTAATTGTACACAAAAGCCGAATGTGTTTTCTTCTTCTAAAGTATCAATCATCCGTGAACAAAATATATACTATTGTATCATGTTTCATTTCGTTAAGTTTTTTTTCTGCGCACTACTTCTACTGTAATTATATGCGTCATTGTAAATGCGTATTTTTACTGTAGGTAAAAACATCAACAAGATAAACACCTGAAGAATGATACATGGATTTTACCAACTTAAGTTTGTTTTTATGCAACTTTCTAAACATTTATAAATTGGTTTGATTTCATCATTATCACTGAGCATTTGTCCTAATTTTACTAAACTGTTGGTAATAGTAAGCAATTTCAAAGTATTATAGATTTTTGATAACTCGAATTAATTTCAATTTAAAATTTATCTTTTATAAGCATTGGTTTTTAGAATATCTGTATAAAATCATCAAATCAAGAACGATGCTCAACGAAATTCAGTAACTTTTCTTTTTTTTTAAAGTTAAAAACATTGTTTAAATTTTTTAATAATCTTTCAACCCATCCACTTCATGATTTCCTTTCAATTATTAACTAGAATTCAAATGATAAAAAGGGGTTTCTTTTTTAGAAATTCTAACATTTGTGTATGAAAACTAAATGAATGTGACTATTATGCAAGAGAAAACCCACAAGCATATTTGTTCATTTACTTATACAATCTAATTTTTATGATTTCTACAAAGCTGTTAGCATTCGGATTTGTTTACTTAATTAGTATTTGTTTCGTTTTAGACACCCACTATAGTCTATAGATGAATAATTCAACAGCTAATTTATCGGAAAACTTAACGTCATTTGTCTATGAAGATTTAGTCGTTCATATTCAAGCAATTCAATATCAAATTATTGAAATTTCAAAACATCTTAATATCAAATGGAACAATAAAATGATACGAAAGAAATTAAAATCACGTTCAATAACATTTATTGATCCATATGGAAATCTAATAACTAATGAATGTATGGATCATGAATTAATCAGCACATCGCTTAAGAAATACAAGAAGAATTATATAGCAAAATATTTACATAAATGGATTAAAATTGGAACAATGAATAATAATTTTATTTTACCTTTAAATGAATATGAACTAAAATCACCTGTATCCCAATATCCTGATGGTTATCAATTTATCACATATGGTGATTTGAATATATTCATAAAATACCATCAAGATATAAAACTTGAACAAATTCTACTACGTGTTTTACTAACAGATTCTATAGAAAAAATTAAAATACGATTACAGAATCCTCTAAAAATACCGAACATAGAATTAAGATTGTCTTTATTATATGAAAGTTTTCAAATACTCAAGTCAAATGATACGGTGTTGTCACATCAGTTATATAAAGAAAATCATATCATCACAGCACATGTTGTGCACGAAAAAGTAAATTATTAATATATATTACTTTTTCTATTTCACTTGTTTTTCTTTATAGACTGATACTAGAGCACCCAAATCTTACTTTATGATTTTTGTGAAACTTCTGACTAGACGAACTCTCCAGCTAGATGTCAATGCTGATATGACTATAGCTAATGTGAAAGACTTAATTTATGAGAAGGAAGGCATTCCTATTGATCAACAACGCTTAATATTTGCTGAACAAGTACTAGATGATGACGGAACTCTTTCAGAGTATAAAATAGAACATCCAACTATGCTTCACCTGGTGTTACGATTACGTGGCGGAATGTATCATTTTACTAGTGGCCGAATAGACTTTGAAAACATATCACGCACACATGCTGCCGAAGCTATTAAAAATATTTTAGCATTCGATTTTAAACAGTTGAATCATGCTGAACATGTATCAATAACTGAACTTCAAAACCTTGTTTTACAAGGACAAATTCTTCTTTTAAAACTTTATAATATAATTAATGGACTCTACGTATCTGATGAAGTTTCAAATTTGAAGAATATTATATTATCGAATGTTGCTGGTAATGAAAATGATAGTGAAGATGATTATGATGATGTTTCAAAAGAGAAATCACAGTCAACTGACAAAAAACAATTAAAAGTATTTCGATTGTAAAAACATGACGTACATAAAGATTTATTTATTCAAGAAGAAAAAATGAGACTTAACCAAGAAACTTAATAATTATTATCAAGTTTTGTAGAACGAAAAACATATTATTTGAATAAATATTATAGCTATAATTTACAAACTAATCTAGTTGAAAAGCTATTGACGAGGATGCAACAAAAAATAATATTCAATATATTCTGAAATAAGTATTTTATCTTGCTGGTTAAATAAGTTTAATAGTTATATCTTTGATTAGAAAGATATTTCTATATTCATAAGAATTCTTCAGTTTTTATTGTTGGATATTCTATAGTACTAATCATTTACGTTCGAATAATAATAAATTTCATAATCATGCGAAAGAAAGAAATCTTAACATAGGAGATTCAATTATTTGAATACATTCAAGGCAATATGAGTGATCGGTGACTCATGGAAAAAGAAATTGAATATCTTCACTTTGTTTTAACTAAATAAGGCTGATTTTTTTATCGATAGTGGAGGAATATGTGAAGTTCTTATTCATAGGAGAGACATCAATAAATGTTCTATTAAGATGTTATAATTTTCATTGAGAA